ATATATATATATATGTGTGTGTGTGTATATATGTGTGTATATATATGTAGTGGACAGTAGTTGTCAGTAGTATGTATATATATGTATATACTCAGTCACTTTATTTGTGTGTAGTAGTATGTATATATATATTCAGGATGAAGATTGAAGCAGTTGTCAGTAGTATGTCAAAAAATTTTGCATTCAGTGCAATATTTGGATTTGTATTCAAATTCTATTTTCTACCAATATCCAGTATGTTGTGGCCCAACAAAATTTCTTCAGGTAATTGTAAGGTAATGTCTCTTTCCACTAAGACCCTTACCGCATATGGTCTGGACATGTTGTGTAAGTAGCCAGGTCTTCCTTCAGGGGTTTATCAAATATAGCTGCAATAGAGTGCAAAACCTGTTGGTTGTAGTAATGAAGACTCAAACCAGGGAGAGTAATCCATAAGGGAATAATAGGAAGCTCAGTAGATGGGAGAGTAATCCATACTATACCTGCTGTTGTAGATTTTAAATTTGGTTTCTATTTTTTATGATTTTTTTATAAAATTTTTAATATGTGATGTTATATCAGATTAGTAGATCATTTTTCTTAGAAGTGTATTTATTGTATTAATACGCTTCTTAGTTATTTATTGGTCTACTTCTTGCATCAATAGTGTCGTTTTAATCTATCTAAGCTCCAAGCTCTAAGCCCTTGTGCCTTAATATATTTTAACTTTGTAAAATTTTTTATTGCAATATATTTACTTCTATTTCAAATTTGCGTAATAACATCAATCCACATATGCATATCTATTTCAAAATAAATTTACATCCAAATTCATGATAAGTGTGGATTTGGTGGTATTGCGTAATACCATCAATCCGCATATAATATTCGCACCTGATTTTCAGTGCTTTGGTTGTAATAACTCAAATTTTAATCAGATGTTTCTAGTTGTATAAAGGTTAAAAATTTTGAATAGATGATGTATTTATTAATAATATGCTCATTTTAACAGCCAAATTGGAGGCGGCCTAAAGGTATCGACTCCCGTGTGAGGAGAAAGTTCAAGGGATGCACTTTGATGCCCAACATCGGCTACGGCTCTGACAAGACAAACC